TCCGATAATGTAGTCACCTTGATTTGTGGTTGTGACTTGAAATATTGTGGATTCTTATTAGAACTAAAGGATGTATAAAAATGGTTTTCAAATTGTTTGGGGGAACTGTAGGATTGCTTTGAAAGTATAGCAGCCTCTATAGAAAGTCTAGAAGTGGCTACCAGACTAATTAGCTGACCCCACCTGAGCCCTCTGCTTCCTTCCTACCCCCCATCTTTTAATTCATATAGTTGTACTTTAATTATAGCAATAGCACTTGCTACTTATATACCGCTTTACAGCCCCCTCTAAGCGGTTTACAGAGTCGGCATATTGCCCCCAACAATCTGGGTCATCATTTTACCAACCTCAGAAGGATGGAAATGTGAGTCAACCTTGATCCCATCAGGATCAAACTTCTGACAGTGAGCAGTGAGTTAGCCTGCAGTATTGCATTCTAACCTGCACCACCACAGCTCTTATTTTTATTGTTTCATTGTTTTGCAATTATTACATTTTTTTATATTTTTTTCAATTGTACTATTGTAAACCCCAGAGTAGCCCCATGGCAAGATGGGAAGCAAATAAATTTTAACAAATAAATAAAGAGAAAGTCCCTGACAAGAAGGTGATTAAAGGATATTCTTTCTATTACTGATGTGTTTCTTCAGTACATATTTACATAGGGATTGTTGGATGTTCTGGAACATTTCATGCGAAGCCATTTCTAGCTGGTGTATATAAATATAGCCTTTATTTAAAGGATACATTTGTTAAACATACTGAAACAAATGTCATAGCATATTATGATCAAGTATTGATTGTTAACAGTATTTATTATTCATTGTACAATATTTCTAGCCCATCCCAACCCAAATGGGATTGGTCAAGGTATAAGAAATCCCAAAAGAATGCATTAGAAACATATAGAGAAAATAAAAATCAGCAGGGGAGGAAAACCCCTAATGCATCCCAGTCATTTTTCATTTAACTAAAGGGCCAAATGTTCTTTGGAACAGATCTGCTTTGTCTTGTGTTTGGAATCCCTGTAGAGTAGGGCCCCTCCATACCCTCAAGAGAAAAGCGTTCCTGCTCTTGAGGGGATGTCATCACTTCCAAGACCTGCCCCCTGGCCCAATGGGCAACTTCAGTTTCTTGTTTATATGCAGACTGAATTTTGAATTAATTGATGGGGGTGGAGTAAAATCTTTATTTACCTAGCCTTCCTTCTCGGAAATGTATAAGTCAAATAACAATAATAATATTTGTTTAGTATTTTGAGTTTCTACACTTACAACAAAACCTGAAATGGAAGGTAGAATTAGGAATCTTGTCGCAGTATATCTCTTGTTTTGTTCTGAAGTATAATCTGAATAGCTAATTATATGAAATTGTGACAATAGACTGATATCTCTGTGGATGGCTGCAAAAGGATGCTAAAACATAATTTCTCACCTTCCTCTTTTAGGTACAGTTTGTCATACATCCCATATGCAAGGTAAGTGTTACCATATTTAAAAAAAAGTTTGAAAATTTGAATGCTTGTCAACTGGTTTATATTTATGACAGTTTGCGTGTCCTGGGATCATGTGATCCCTTTTAGTGACCTTCTGACAAGCAAAGTCAATGGAGAAGCCAGATTCACTTAAGAACTGTGTTACTAACTGAAAACTGTAGACATCCACTTAACAACTGTGGGAAGCAAGGTTGTAAGATGGGGCAAAGCTCACTTAACAAATGTCTTGCTTATCAACATAAATTTTGGGCTCAATTGTGGTCATAAGTCAAGGACTACCTGTATCTAGTACGTTAGTCTTCAGTATGAGGCCTGCCAGGCTTCAAACCTCAGTTGATTTTATTTTATTAAATTCTTTGAACAAAATGATTGTAATTGAAAACAATAGCAAATTAAAATCGCCATTACAATTGAGCTAAAATATTGAATTTTATTAAAATGAATGGTTATAAAATTGTACAATGGTTGTCTGAAACGGTATCATTTTGCTTTCATCGAGAATGGAGGAAAGGGAAGGGTTTTTAAATGAGAAGTTAATTGGTAAAGCCTTAAAAATAATGCATCATATCCACAAGCTGTACTTAGTGATTTTTCTTTTTCTTTTAAAGGGATGCTGTATTGAAATGCTTCACTTCTTGCCTAGGTTAAAGAGAAGCAGAACTTTTTCCAGTGCTTGGAAATCTACATCATTTCTCCTAGGTTTACTCCCAAGTGCTTCAGATCCTGAAACAGTGACATCCTTACTCACAATGGGTGTTAAATTGTATTAGCAAAATAAGCTCTTTTTTTTTCTTTTAAAGTACAGAACCAGGGCATTATACCATCACAAGACCCCTCAATCCATGCTTACTCTAAAAATATTTCTTTTACTCACTCAGTGGTCTTAAAATTGCTGGATGAAAGTCTGCTAATATGATTTAATCTCAAAATGATACGGTCTTTGAGTTTCAGGTAAAATGCATGTAAATACATCTGCCTCATTTTTTTTTTATTTATCTTTCCAATTTGTCTTGTTTTATCTTCCAAAATCCTATTAAATTGTAAAATGAAGAATTACACTATGTTATAGCTACTAGGCCTCTTCAGAAATGATTAACAGTGGAGACAGCATGGGGGGGAAATGATACTATATAAGAAATGTGTTTTCCAAATTCAGGAACTTTGTGTTATTCCTTTATTTTAAATGCCAACTTTTTATACTGTGACACTTAAAATGCATTTAACTAAAAGAAGTTGAGTAATATATTAAATCAATGATTAAAATATTTAAAATTATGCAGTGTAATGGTATTTATGATTGAGATATTCTGTAGAGACTCCGTATGTTAGTGCTGTTAGTACTACTATAAAATTACTTGGTCAGACTCAAACATGGGTTAATGCTTATGTTTTGCTTATTTTAAAAAGTAGTGTCTACTGATATACTCCCACAATTTATCTACAGCATGCCCACTTTTCTGTAAATTTAGAATTTCCCATACACACACCTTCCAATGCCATTAATGGTCTTGGGAGAGGAAATAGTCAAGTAAAATCTATATGTTCAAGTATGTTTAATTATGTGGCTAATGGCTGGATGGAACTCAAGGTTTGCTTCAGCAATTTAAACAATAATTTAAGCTATAAAATGAATAACTTGTTATTTGGTCATTTAACTTCCTCCCAACCACATATTATAAAGATCAATAGCACTAAAACTCCCATTTCCTTGTTCTGCTTTCAGAGGGATTATACACACTAGTAGTTAGTGATAGGCCTGTGTGGCAAAGTCCCTTGTAAAAAGAGAGGCAGACAGCTGACTTGTGAGTAATTGCAAACTAATACTGAGTGGACCCCAAGGATGTAGAAAACCTGCTGTAGCTAATTCATCCCAGACCCTTAAGCATTCCAGGTCAGGAGTTGAAAACAGTCTCTTTGGAGTGCCAGCAGTTCAACTCAAGAACTCAAAGAATAAATTCTCAAAATAAAATATCAAACCAAGGAAGAAAGATAGAACAGGTGGCAGCTGAGGAGGCTTGTTACCCTCCTTCACACCAGCAGATTCAATGGGTATCCCAACCTCAACAAATAGGCAATTCCCTAACTTGGAAATGCCGTTAGTTTCCTCACCTGAGAAATTTCGAGAGAGGAACCAGATCTATTTAGTGCCTGACAAATGAGCCAGGTCCTAACCAAGCAGCATAGACAGACCTTGATAAGGGTAATTTCCACATCCTCTCTTTGTCCTCCTGCTCTCTTCCTTCATCTCAGTCTCCTCCAATCTCCATACCTATTCTTTTGGCAGGACATCTTTGAGGTTTAGCCAATCCTGAGCCTGCAGACACTGAACAATGAAAAAGTTAACCTTCGAGTTGTTTCTTTAAAATAGACTTTAGTTTGAAAGGTAAAAGTTGTAGCCTGGCAATATTTACTTTCTAGGAAAGGGTCTAGTCAGGGCTGCCAAACTCATGGCCCACAAGCCAGATGTGTCATGTGCTGGCCACACCTGGTTTAGCAAGGGGGAGGAGTCACAATATATCACGTTATGACACTGTGATTGAGGGATCTTTCCTTCATCCACCCAGCATTCTTGGTTTCTATGTTTGCTGATAAGGAAGAGGTTTTGATTTCTTACAAGAAACCTCATAGTTTGCATGGAATTCTTTTGTTAGTGGTGACCAGGAAAACAATAAATGCAAAACCAGTTTAAGGAAATAACAGTGGCATATACTGAACTTAGATATATTTGCATAGCACATGAGGCCATTCTAAGGCCATCTCACTGGAACCTCAAGATGTATAAATCTACTTCACTGTGGTCTGCTTACATAGCACATTTAACTAAGCAGCATTCAACGACTGCATTGGCTAAATGTGGTTAACCTGAACTTTGGTTAGGCTTCAACAACTTAGATTGTGTGAATCCACTGTTTGGGAAACACTTGACTCACTACAGCAGCGGCCTAGGCTACTAGCACGCAATCTAAAAGCAAATAGAGCTTTTATAGGCTATTGTCAATGAGAGATTCGTGTTTCAATGAAATGGGTAAATACTTTCTGTACAGGAAGAGATTTGAATGGAGAGTTGTGGGGGGGTTAGCAGCATCAACTAATCGAAAAGTCCCACTTTTTTCAGAGCGGGAAGTGGCTATTTAAGCCTCCAGCCGAATCCACTACGGAGCAGATTCCCAGTAGATCACTCCTTTGCCTTTTCAGAGGGGTGGCGGCGGCGAGGAGCTGAAGAATTCAAAAAAACAAAAACAAAAACCGGCCCGGCTTCGAGATAAGAATCGCCTCGGCTCTTCTTTCTTCGCCAGGTAGGGGGCGAATTTCCGTCCTGAGGAAGCGGATTGGCTCTGTAACCAGCCCTAATCAAAGCCCTCCAGCCTCGCCTGGACGTCGCCGCTCGCTCGGCTCCTCCTCTAGACTCCAACCCGCCTCGTGTCTCATTCACCGGCAGCATCAGAGCTTAGGTGGCGCGCGAAGGCGCCGGGCTGCTTCGCCGAAGGCTGGCAAGGAGCTCTGAAGACATGCCCAGCTAAGCGCGGACACAGGAGGAGGAGGAGGAGGAAAAGTCTCTCCCGCCATGTCCTTGCCCCCTATCGCGCCGCCACCTTCGGCCGCCCCCCGACTGCAATCGAGGAAGCAACACCAGCCGTCGCCGCCCGTGGCGGCTCCTCGAAAGCCGATGGCGGTGTTGGCGACGGCCCCTCTCGCTCCAGGCAAGCCTCCTTGGAAAGGGCGCGGCGTGCCTTCCGAGCGACCCGCCGGCTTCTCCAGTTCCTGGCCCAGCGCCTCCCTGCAGAAGCAGCTGCCGCGCGGCAAAGCGGGCCAAGGCGGCAGGAACGCCCCGCCGGCCGAAGGAAGGGCGGCGGCTGCGGCTGCCTTAAGCGCTGCCTTGTCTCGCAGCCGGGGCCGCTCGGGACCGCCGGCCGCTGGCACGCGCTCCTGCGAAAGCCTCTGCCCGGCGCCGGGAGGCCGCGGGGAAGCTTCGCTCCGCTTCTCGCTCAGCCTTCCCCCGGAGGCGATCCGGGTCTTGCAGCGGCGGAGCCTGGAGAAGCAGCGGCCGCGAGGGCGGGTGGCCCGCTTCGCTTCCCCCGACGCCTCCAGGTGTCCTCTGGCGGGAATCTCGTCGCCCGAGGGGGACTTGCGCGCCTTGCTGCAGGTGTCGCTGCTGAACGAGCGCCACCGCTACGACGACGTGGAGTACGAGGAAGACGAGGCGGCGGGCGACCCCGGAGCCTTCGCGGCCGACGAAGGGCTGGTGCGCAAGTGCACCGAATGGCTCCGCGGTGTGGAAAGCGCCGCTGCCCGGGACCGGGCGGGCAAGATGGACACCCTGCCTCACTTGAGCACCCTTTGAGCGGCCGGGCTTGTGGGTCTTCACCAAGGCGCTCTTCCGAAAAAAAAAAAAAAAAGCACCGTTTGCGAATACAAATGCTTACCGTTCCGTTTTCCGGTTGCTTTCTAGCTTACTCCTGCGAGGAGGGGGGGCGGGAAATCTCACTTTCTACTTATGGGTCGTACCGTAGAGCACGGGTGGATTTCGGCCTCTCTTTCCTGGGGAGTGGGGGGGGGGTGGTTTTCTTTTTTGTGCCTTTTCTTCGGAAACACCCAGGCGGAAAGCCCTGCCGTTCTCATCACCAGCGGTTGCTAAGGCAGCAAGGTGGCCTCACGTTGTGCAGCGGTAGCCTTAGGTAAAATGCACTTTGAAGGGATTGTTGCTCCCCCAGTCAACATTGTCTCTTTGCTTGGTAGCTCATCAGAAAGGTGCTTGCCATTGTCTCCCAAGATGTGTCAAATATGTCTGCCAAAAGAGCATCCTCGCTTCACCTCTGCTTCTGGAAATCTGCTTCACTTCTTGAATGGACTAGTGTTAATCTAGTCAGCATTTTTAAAAAATGTTATTGCATAGTGTTAAGGAAAAGGACACAGGAATGCATTTGTGTGTTATTCTTTGCTAAGGTAGTATAAATGTTTGAACGTGAAAGATGAGAAAGGTGAAGTAAGCTTAATGCCTCAAGTGTTTGGTTTTACTAAAACCAGCCAAATATGAGTGTTCAATTTTTATCGTCTCTGTTCAATTTGTTATAATGCAGTGATTTATTTTGTTAACCTTTGTAAAGATTGAGGACTCTTGTCTAGTTTGAATCTGTTCCAAGTATGCTTAGAACAGGTTCACCTTACTTCAGGGGAAACACCTGAATGCATGCTGAGATCCAGAGAAGTTAAAGCAAGACTGGGGGTGGGGGGGAACCTTTTCCCCTGGTTTAGTTCAACTTTCTGGATGTGCTCTGAGGATGACTCCGGAGTTTATGAATTAACTTTCATTCTCACAATAGAGACAAAAAATATGCTGTCTTCTATTCAAAGTGTTCTGAACAAAAATATTTTATTAGTACTTTGTAAATATAGAATAGCACAGTGATTTTGTAAACCTGCAACATTTCTATTTATTTGAATAAACCACAAAATTTTGTGAGACGGATGTTCTTTTTGTTTAATATCCTACATTTTAACAGAAAATTAACTAATGGATTCACCATTGGCAAGTCAGATGTATAAAGTTAAAATTGCATATATATTTTTATTTCATATATATATGTGTGTGTGTGTGTATGTGTGTGTTCAATCAATCTGATTGATAGTTGGTAGTTGGAAATATATATCTAAATATTTAAAATACTTAATTTTTTTTAATTGGTTTACCATTTATTTGCCAAATATCAGAAATAATAAAATGATTTTTAATGGAAACTAGCAGCTTTATTTTAGTATACTTAATCTCTAGGTCATTCTTAAGGGGAAAAAAGAGATATTACTGCTCCTACTCATCTGCAAAGGGGATATGCTAAAATAATATCATGTGAATAGTCTTTCCCAACCTGGTCACTTGAAGATGTGTGGACTTCAAACTCCCACAATTCCCCAGCTGGCCAGCCTGGAATAGAGTGAAATGGACATGAGTGAGAGTTGAGGGATAAAATTTCAAAAGGCAGGAGCCAGAATGATGCTATTAATATAAAAAATTAACTACAGGAAGCCAGACAGCACATCATCTACCTTTGATGGGAATGTGAGAAATAATTCCTCATTGTTTTTACATTTGATTTGCATAAAAATACTCCCATGCAGCAACATTATCAGCTTGAGAAGGCCACGAGTCAATAGAAGCATCTAAATCACATGGCTGGCCCTATCCCGTGGGGTGCTTAAATCTGGCCCACGCGGCCAGCCTGGAAATAGCAAAGGACCGGCCTGTGGTGCCTCTGGCAGCCAAAATGGGTACACACTGTTTTGGCCAGTAGAGTGTTGCAAGAGGCCATCCAGGCTGAAAATGGGGCATGGGGGCGGGGGCATGCGTAGCCCTCCCATGCCCCGTTTTGGCTGGCAAGATGTCTGTCCCTCCTCCAGCTGGCCCGCAGAGAACTACAATGCTGATGCGACCCTTGAAGAAATCCAGTTTGACACCCCTGATCTAAATTCTTCCCCAGCGTCTATTTGATAATGGAGTGTAAAGAGAACTTAAATACTTCTCAGCCAGATGGTGTTGAGATTTTTACACTGATCAACAGTCAAGCGAGCTAATCTGAAACTTGGTTATTCTTTGAAAAGTGCACACTGGGATTATGCACTCTGCAAGTTTATTACAAAAACATTTTGTATAGAACTTGCCAATCATACATGATAGGATAATTGGGTGATTATTTGCCAGATCACTCTTGTAGAGATTAGGTGCAATGGCTCAAGTTATAAGGTAGTGGGGAATTACTGATGTTTGCAAAAAGGAGAACAAGTACAGACGTCCACCAACGGATTTATTTTAAAAAAATCTGGGGGGAATTAAGTCCTTTCCAACCACTTTGCTGTTCTTTCAGTGGGGGAGAGCAAGTTAAACATTTCTGAATTTGATATTGGTGGCCCCTTGGACAGAAGAGTAAGAAATTGTATGCCTAGATTTCTCTACTAACTGATACATAAAATAGATTTTAGTAATGGGTGTCTTTAGGTACACTGAATTTTTAGAGCTGTAAACTACTGGTTACATAGGATTAAACAAGCTATCATTTTTTGTTGAGAACTGCTTTTTGAAACTTTTCTCAGTTCATTGTTTTCCTTTCCTCTCCCAACCTACGCAGAAAAGATTGATACTCCTTTTTCAATGAAAAATTTCTCCAGAATTTGGATAGTTACAGCGTTTCGTGGGTATATAGGCAGAAGCTAACACAGTCCTGCCTGAGATACTCTTTGTCAAAACTAGAGCTGCACAGGCAATCCTTGGTTAACAACTGCCGTGTTTAGTGACCATTCAAACTTAGCACTGAAAAAATATATTTATAACTGGTCCTCATACTTAGGGCAGACACAGCATCTCCAAAACACTTGGCAACTGACACACATTTACAGCAGTCACAGTTTCTCACGGTCACGTGATTGCCATTTGCAGCCTTCTCTGTCGGCTTCTGACAGCCTTACTGACAACCAGAGAAATTTATAGAATCTGCTGCTTTTGTCAAAATGATAAAAAGCACCACACCATTGCAAGGCAAATTCTGCCCTTTTCGTATGTATGTGTCATCACAACATATATAAAAATATGTTGGAGCTGGCATCACTTTAATGTGGTTTTATTGCTTTTATAAACTCCAAGTCTTAAAAGTGTTTTTGTAGTAGTATATATTCATATTCATGCAATTATTTATATACTATATATATTCCCACTATAAATTTGGCTTTGAACACAGCATTTGTATTCAAAAGTACATACTTACCCGAAAGGATCAAGGTAGTGTCATCAGCACAGCATCCTTTGGTGTGGGAGAAATTGATAAATTTGTCTCCTTTTCATTTGGTACCATCCAATTACATTTTCTTCTTGTGTATCCAGTTTTGGCATTCCAGTTTCCAACACAAGCAGCACATCTTGTATGTTCTGTCAGTTTTAAACTGAACTTCATCAAGGATGGAACTCTGCACCTGAGTTCTCTCTCCAAATTTTGTTAGTTTAAAAGGTGGTCCTATAGGTTTCCTTCTAAACAATGTAAATCCACTACTACAGACAGATTGATCGGAACAATTGTACCTGGGATTATTCCGAGGATTAGTTTTCTGATCGGGTAGTCCAGTTTCCAAATTCAGAAATGATTTTACTTCTAGGATGGGACTCAATGACAAGTTCCTTTTTCAACATTTGCTTCTGCACTGGTGATTAAAACAAATTTAAATGACCATCACATTAAAGGGTTGTCCATGAAGTCTAATTGATATTATTCTGTCACTGATTCCATTGTGGCCAAGTACTGTGTCTGCTACACCCTTCCTAACTATAAAAGCAATACTGTTTCATAGTTTTTCCATGTCTTGAGTAATAAAGGGTATGACTGTCTGACAGAAAATGCCCTGTCCCATCCATCTCAATTCAATAATGCCTAAGATGTCAATTTGTAGTTTCATCTTTCTCTGGGTTGAGCTTTCCTATGTTTATGCTTCTTATGTTCCATGTCCCTGCTGCAATTCTATGCAGCTTTAGATTTTCTTTTCTTGTATGGCAACTTTCAGCAACTTGACATCCTGTAGGTTTTACGTAGCTCTTTTGTCAGCACGCTAAAAGATCATCAGCTCTTCTTCAGTAGCATACAAGAGGAACCCATCACCAAGCAATCATTTTATATTTTACACACACACATGCATATGCATATACATATACTTAAACATATACATACATACATACATATATATGAATTGATGTTTTTGCCATTACCATGACCTCTGGCATCTTCCTATATCACTGCTGCCCAGTAAAGGTGCCCACTTGCTTTAGTCAAGCAGCTAGAATGACTTTTATATATTGAGTGATCCAGCTGGGAAATATATACTGTTGGCACAAACTCCCAATGCTCTGTTTGTTGCTCCCAGGAGTACTCCCTGCCACAATGAAGCTACTCAGCAGGACTTTTGGGGGGGGGGGGGGTATATATAGCTACTAGTAGGAAGTAAAATAAAAACTGCTAGGTTACCTTTATGTCAGAGGTGGTATTCAGCAGGTTCTGACCAGTTCTGGAGAACTGGTAGCGGAAATTTTGAGTAGTTCAGAGAACCAGCTCCCATCTGTTCTCTGCCTACCAAGTCCCAGCTGATCTGCTGGGTCTTTTGTTTCCCTGCACAGGAGAAAAAAAGGAAACCTGCTGGAAAGCAGGTTAGTGGGGTGGGGATTTTACAGTAACCTTCCCCTGCCACGCCCACCAAGCCATGCCACGCCCACAGAACCAGTAGTAAAAAAAATTGAATCCCACCACTGCTTTATGTTATTTATTACTCTTTTATATCCCTTATGCATGGAAAGAACAGAAGTAAGTGTTGGAAGAAAATTCTTAAAGCTG